GAAAATGCCTCTGCGATACCCGCACTCTCCAACAAAGTCATTCGCAACTGTCTTCAAGTTCAAAGCATCTCAGTCTTCCTTTGCGAACATGAAGAAGAGCACAGTGGTACGTTTTCACCCGCCTTTTTGCCGAGAAGTTGTATTTCTCGCCGGCCGAGATAGGCGAGAAATGATTTCTGGGGAAATATTTTCACTTGCAACTATGGCATCTGGTGTGTTCTTTATTGTCGCTTCTTTTCCTGACTTCTTCAGTCAGTTTTGAGTCTCACCAGTGTCCCTGCCCTCCCACCCGGCATAATATCATTGCTCTTTTATAACTTTTGCCGTGAAGTGCTTGCCATGCCTACATGATGCCTAATCGCCATTGGGGATATACACCCGGCTTTTTCCCTCACAACTGCGTCCGTCGGCGCGAGGGTTTTTCCCCGGCTGGCTCGGTCCAGATAAATTGGTTTGACGGTCCCAAGTGGTTCTGCATCATGGCCGATTTCTCATTGCGCGAAATCGCGCATCTATGAGCGACATCCACATAAACTGCTGGGACCATGGTTGTGTACTCGAATCTCATTCTGAGCACCCTTTTTTCAGCCGTTTTTTGCAAAAAGTCCTCGAGCTCGATTTTTTTTGATCGATCGTTCTTCAAGGAAAGACGAGTGGACAATCGATCAACAGGGCCGAGGACGAATGCGTCTGGTTGGAGTTCTTGCGTGGCACAGGATGACCAGACACACATATAGATACATTGCGACGATCTAATCTCCACAGTGTTTCCTACGCACGACGACGGTAAGTACAATTCATGTGATTTCAAATTGTTTGTGATCTACAACGTCGCGAGCAGGACGGAAATACAGCAACAGCACGACAACCGTTATACCAGGCAGTAACCAACAGTCACCTCCGTCACATTCTCCAGATCAGAAGGCAAGTGAGGCAGTGAACATGAAGAAATAAAGTATGAAAGAATGAAAAGTGAATAATTCAAAAATCTCAGAAACATTGAACGTAAAAAACACTGAGAACAAGAAAAGTGACTTACTTCGATGGCAAAAGACAAAGCGAATGTTCCTCGTATGGACCTGGCTCTTGCGGAATCAGCCACACTGTGGAACCATGTGTTTGATTCCACAAGGGATGGCTACCTACTCCTCACCAACCAGCCTCCACGACGGTGGTAAAGTCGCCAAAAATACGAAAGTTGAACATTTTGTGCATGCATGCAATAGAAAATTTGTGCCGAGTATGTCGAGTGGCCATTCGCACAGGACAAAGCCGTTGCGCAAGCTGTGACCCTGAAATTTCGTCCATTGGTAGCGAGGGTAACCCTGAGCTGGAAAGTGTAAGGGATGGCATGCTACACTCCCCCGCATACGCTTGACAGCACGATTTGAGGCGTGGAGTAGTAATATACCAGTATCTTACTACCCCTTGATACCTGATGCATGGACGTCGTCATCTTCATCCCGCAGATCGAAAATGTACAGGTGTCGCGTGATTTCGCGCAATGGCTATCCACTGGCACACCTATTCTATGTGAGACACTCTGTTCTCAGTTCTTGCTTCCATACCTCACTCGTTATCCGGTTCACATCTGGCTGCGGCCAACTACCCTTCACTTTGTGTAGTGTCGCTATTGCTGTCTATGTCTCTGTGTGTGCCAGTATATGTGAAGCGAGAATGAGCGCTTACTGGTGGCATTAGTGGCTGGTGATATCCGCAGCAGCTGGAGCAGGACACACACTTCTGACAAGAATAACTGATGACTGTACAAATACTGCAGGTAAGACACAACACTCAGCACGGTTGGTGCACCATCACCTTCAGCAACGCAATGCGCATCAAGGACTGGCAGCTGGTCATGAATGAGATCCGTCTGAATGTCATCCTTGTACAGTGAGGCAATGGCTGTTAGCTCTGTACTGTAGAAGAAGGTCTTCAAAATTCCGGTATTTGCAATAGCCTTCCTGGTCAAGCCGCCGACGAATGGCTTGCACAACTGTGTCAACTGCAGCAAAGTACACAGGGCAATTGTAGGTCTCGACTGTGGCAGGGAATGAGGGAGCACCAGTACCTTCTTGGAGCCTTGCTGGTACCTTCCTCGTTTTCGGTAGTTGAGGTTCAAGCACGTCATTTGACTGCTGCAGCTCCATCACGTTCGACCAGAAAGCCTCAAAACTACTGTCAGTTCGGAGAAGCAGGAGAGTGTCAACAGTAGCGTGTGCAATAGCTTGGCCTTCACTTTGCAGACAAGGTGGTAGACTGCAATGACTTGCCGAGGTTATCAGCAAGAGATAGAACTGTTGCACCGAGAGAGACACCGAAGAGGAAGTCAAAATTTGACAATTGACTCCTCTCACCATTGCACTTTGCTGACATCTCCTTATCGTTCTTTCCCAGCTCGGTACATGACTCCAGGCACTGTTGAAGGACGCTGTAGTTGGTATGGATGCTCTTCAGAGATGCAGCCCAAACTGTCCACCTGGTCGGACACCAGGTGCGGAATCCATGTTCTTCTGGTGCAAGCTCAGCTTTCAGGCGCTTGTATTCAGCAGTATGCTTCGCAGAGCTTGCTGAACTCAAATGTGATGTCCTGACATGCTTGACATCATGAATCATGTCCTGAAAACCGAGACTCAGGGCATGCCCATAGCAGTGAGTATATAGAGCTCTGGGCTCCTCTGCCAAGATCTGGGTTGCAACTCCTGTTCGGCTACCTTTCAAGGTAGAGGCACCATCATAACACTGGCCTCGACAACACTCCAGCTTGAGGTTCATCCTCAACAGGGCATCCTTGATTACGCTGACTGCTCCGTACAGCTGGAGTCATCCACCAGATGGCGAACTTACTTTCACCGATACTGAGTGCAAGTCCACGGAGGATCTGGAGTGCCATCACCTTCAACCTTACGTTCTGCATATCGGCACTCGTGTATTTTCCCTTCTTCTTCTCTAGCCACTTATGTAGCGACGGTTGGAATTCGCTGAAGACGTTCAGGAGCTGGTGGAAATCGCGATCTACTGGCCGACTGCAATGACTTGCTGAGGTCTACTTCAGTATCTACTTCACCTCCATCTTGCGATGCTCCTCGGAGAGGCAGCTCTTGTCGAGCAAGAAACTTGATGTTTCGAAGAATGGGGAGGAAAGACTCTCGATTCTCTTTACGGTCAGGCAAAAACTGTGAGTTGAGAAGTTCACCACCGTGACCAGTTGTCTCAGGAGTTGTCTCCAATTTTTCAACAGCCTCCTTATGACAGTCGCTGGACTGATATTTCGAGAATCCTCCCGGACCAAACTTTCTGTTTTGAAAGCCAGTTGAAATAAACGTAGCATCAGTCTTCGTATTGAAGAGGAGCTTTCCTTAACCTGCCTTTAAGCACGTGAAGCAAAATACTCGTTTACGCTTCATATCCCAATGCAACCAGGGATAATTGTCATACCAAGATTGCAAGAATGCATGGAACACAACTTGGCTAACCCCGAATGCTCGCTTGGGCTAGTCATGTGACCTGATTTGGAAAAGAGCATATCCTATTTCAGGGTAACCATGGTAACCTTCCATCTCTTCGAGTCAGAACAATAAACTGCCACCACGGTACATGATTACAGAGATTTGCCACCTCTGTCCATGCTCTGGTACAAAGGTTCACACAACGCACCGTACATTTTTTATGCATGCATGAGATCTTTTCAGGAGTGCAAAAAACGTAGAATAGATTTTTAGAATTTCGACTTGGAAAATTATTGGTGCGGCTTTGGCCACACCAGCCGCACCAGTTCCGACGCCGCTGATGCTGACCACCCAGGCTGCGCACCCAGACTGACCACTCAGATTAACTCAGACTAAGCCAGACTAAGCACTCAAGCAAAGCGCCCAGACTCCAAAACCAGGTGATATAAGTTTTTGCCATTGCATGACCCCATAGAAAGAGTATGAAGAGTTCCACACTCTTGGTAGCTTAGTTACCCTTGATCATACTGTACACTCTAGTACTATGATCATACTGTACACTCTAGTACTATGATCATACTGTACACTCTAGTACTATGATCATACTGTACACTCTAGTACTATGATCATACTGTACACTCTAGTACTATGATCATACTGTACACTCTAGTACTATGATCATACTGTACACTCTAGTACTATGATCATACTGTACACTCTAGTACTATGATCATACTGTACACTCTAGTACTATGATCATACTGTACACTCTAGTACTATGATCATACTGTACACTCTAGTACTATGATCATACTGTACACTCTAGTACTATGATCATACTGTACACTCTAGTACTATGATCATACTGTACACTCTAGTACTATGATCATACTGTACACTCTAGTACTATGATCATACTATACACTCTAGTACTATGATCATACTGTACACTCTAGTACTATGATCATACTGTACACTCTAGTACTATGATCATACTGTACACTCTAGTACTATGATCATACTGTACACTCTAGTACTATGATCATACTGTACACTCTAGTACTATGATCATACTGTACACTCTAGTACTATGATCATACTGTACACTCTAGTACTATGATCATACTGTACACTCTAGTACTATGATCATACTGTACACTCTAGTACTATGATCATACTATACACTCTAGTACTATGATCATACTGTACACTCTAGTACTATGATCATACTGTACACTCTAGTACTATGATCATACTGTACACTCTAGTACTATGATCATACTGTACACTCTAGTACTATGATCATACTGTACACTCTAGTACTATGATCATACTGTACACTCTAGTACTATGATCATACTGTACACTCTAGTACTATGATCATACTGTACACTCTAGTACTATGATCATACTGTACACTCTAGTACTATGATCATACTGTACACTCTAGTACTATGTGAACAATGGAAGACTGCTATCTGTACTGAACTTCCAGTCAACATTGTGTAATTAAACAGAAGTGGAACCACACTAATCAATCATAGATCTTACCTGCAGTCTCTTGTTGTAATAGTCAACCACCACAAGATCACCATCGTCATCCACAGCTACATCTGTGGGTTGGTTGAATTCAGCATTACCACTGCCGCGTTTGCCTATATCACGTATGTATGTACCATCCAGTGTGGTGACCTACAGGTACATACATGTACATCACAACACAATACACCAACAGAAAAGAACAGCATGGACAAAACTTCATTTTAACATTTCAAACGTTTCCCAGTACAGAATGATACAGTATGTCTGCATCATACATAAGCTCAGTTACTCATGCAAGAATTGCACGAATTGGAAAAGAAGTGGGCTTTGCACAGGAAAGCTTAGTTGTCCAGGCACACGGGTATCCTAATAAAGTTATTATTATTATTATTATAGGCACAGTGCTGGTGCTGTGAGTATGTGTCATATTGCTGTCCCTGCACAGTTTACAAGTTGGACAATTTCTACTTTTTAAATTTGAAATCGTGCTACAAAGTGGGTAATGGAGTCGCCATGACAAATACTGATATTAAAGAACTAAAGACTACAATATTAATGACGGGAAGTGCCAGCTTCGGCAACAACTAGAGAGGCAGAAGAAGAGACAGGTGCATGCACAGCAAAAACAGAGCAGTTACCATGCAGGCACATAGCACTTGCTCTGAGCAAAGCAAAGCTAAGGCAGCAGCGGATGAATGCTATGACAACTGAATGCGGTTCGCTGCTTTTCTCAGCAATAAGGGATGCCATACGCTTGTAAAGCGAGGCAGATTGCTTGGCCATGCCATCGGTTGTCGAGAAGACCGAAGTTAGCCAATTTTTACGGACATTTTTATGATTTCAATTCGACAGCTATGTCTCGAATTTCTCAAAACCTGTCTGGACATGAAGGAGCTGTACTAAATTTTAGTTTCTTTCTTGATTTGCTGAAATTACGTTTTACTTTTCCTCGCCATCCCACCGACTCTATTTTGTTTGCATCTGCTCTTTCAGTCATTTGCCACCTTGTTTTCTTCCAATGAAGGTGGGGGATGCAAGCGGGCATCAGGATTGTTGTATGTGTGTAGTGCGACTTCTCATGCCAGGTAATTATGTGAGCCCTAGGTTGGAGAATTCTTCGCCCCGTTGGTCGTTGGTTTGCACACACTGGGCGGTACGAGATTGGCGCTGGGGCCAGTATGCTTTAGCCCTTGGTGAGAAGGTCGTGGGTGTCAGCAGCTATTCCTTGGCTCTCAATAGTCCGTACAGGCAGTACACACCAGCCGTTGGTTGTCGGTACATGATTGTCTCACGGCAAGCAGTATGCTTCAGCGCTTGGTGGGTGTGGGTGTGGGTGTGCTACACCTCCGGGGGGGGGGGGGGGGGGCAGTACACTTCATCCCTCAATGGGATGTTTGTGATAGCTCTTGGTGAGCTGGTTGCTTCAGCCCTCAATGGAATGTACTTCCTCCACGTCATTAAAATTGTTGCTTCCCAGTGCGATTTTTAAATTTATTTTGTCCACTCAAAGTGAAAAGAAATCAGCTTGAAACCGAGGCAGAGCATTGTCGACAGACCAAGCTTTAGTTTTGGCCTCTCGTTTTTGCTGCACTTACAGATAAGGTCGATGTCTTCATCAGAATTTGAGGCACACCCTTCAGCACTCAGTGATACAGTGAACAAGACGCACGTTCAAATTCAGGTCATGAGACTTCGTTTTCAAATCATCCATGACTCCAGCTGGCAGGCGATGAAGGCAAACTAGCATTTTTCAAGTACACTGTAACGACCTTCCAGCGGGATTGGGTAAGCAGTTCCGCACCTTCTTTTCTTGAAAAGTGCTTTGCTGATTTTGTTGGTGTTTTCAGATATGCTACCTTCACAGCAACATGCGGCACACGTGTTTTTTTAGGAAATTGAGAACAATTTGTTCTTGACATCGCCAAATACAGCATTTCGAATTCTGGAGAGATACCAGGATTCTTATACCCGAGCTTGCAGTCTTGATAAATGCCCACGCAAACTATGTGGAAGGGCAACAACTCCAGAAAAAAAATGTGCTCTGGGGAAGAATAGTGCAGAGCGCGATGAATATATTTAGTGCAGAAGAGAGCTCGGACAACATCCGAGACCACTATGGCTTCAATGACAAGTAGACATTGCTCAGGAAGGGTGGCTCCAATGTTCGAACACAGAAAACATCAATTCCGAAAGTCCGAAAGTTCGACTAAGACGAGCAAGCCGCAAACATTGTGATGTGCGAAGTGACAATTTTAATGACACGGAGGAAGTATGTGTTAGCCTCCAGTGAGCAGGTTGCTTTAGCCCTCAATGGGGTGTACATGTTAGCCCCCATTGGCAGTTTGCTTCAGCCCTCGGTGGGGTGAATGTGTTAGTACCCGGTGAGCAGGTTGCTTTAGCTGTCGGTGGGCAGGTTGTTGGCCTCAAAGGCCATCCATGCACCCTTGGTGGGCAGGTTGCTGGCAGCGTTGGCCATTTGTGCCCCCTAGGTGGGCAGTATGCTAGCAGCCTGGTGCTGACAGGATCATTTAGTGCTTGGTGGGCTGCCTGTGTGATTGGACCATGGTGGACAGCTGTGGGCTAGCCCTTTGGGGCCATTTGTGTGTCGGCTCTCGGTGGGCGGTGGGAATCACTGAAGATCATAATAATTATGTGATGATACCATGGTGCAACAGTTATCGATTGCTTCCTTAGAGCCAGTCTATAATCAAATACTATTATGTCCAAAACATTATACTGCTAACTGCTTTTCCGTTCACAACTTCCCTCGAACTTGGAAACTGCACTGAGCATATTCTTCTAACATCCCTCTCCATAAGGAAGTGATTGTAACACTCAATACAACATATCAATTGCTTGTGAGTGCATGTGCGTTGGAATTTTTTGTATGCACAGGTGTGCGCGCGGGAGCGTGTGTATATCGCCAGTCGAATAGGTGTGTCCTGCATTAGAAGATATAACACATCCAGCATACTAGCGTACTTCCCCATGTATCGGGGCAAGATCACATCGCCTGGTAAGTCATTCGCACCGGAGTGAGCTACCAAGATGCCTTTATAAAGAAACGTGACAAAGACTCAGCAGTCAAGTTCCTTCTCCATGACATTTGGGTGGCTGAATAGTAAAGTTGTGTTTGGCAGAGACAAATGTTCATTCCTATCGTTTCAACTGTATTTTCATTTCTCTTCGTTCTCATAAAGGTCTGCTCTCTGCCAATGAGGAGTAGTTGCAAAGCTGGAGATGATTTGCTACAGTCCGACTTTACATAATCTACAACTACTTCATTAGTGCAGTGAACGAGGATACATAGCTTTGCCTCATCATGGTACCAGGTGGTGAAAACAATTGGCAAGGCATACGGCGCATGTCACATGATGTCTCTCTTTCTACTTCTTCACTAGTCCACGTGCCATTGATACACCAGACAGACGTTCCTGTAGACTCCCCAGACACGAGAACCACTTGCATCTATGTATTATTATAGTTGTAGATTTGGTAATGGAGGACAGTCGGAATGCAGGAAGAATGATTTACCAATCCAGTATTGCAGCAGATGCTGCCACCACCTTATATCTTCCATAGCATTAGAGTTAAGAGCTCCAGTACAACCTGTATTTGCCCAACCTTGTCCGAAACAGAATATTGTATTGACCAAATGTTTCTGCACCAAAGTACTGTGGATCAAACGTGCATCCTTGGGTCAAGCGGAATTCTGATATATCATGACGGTTTTCGCTGCAGCAAGGGTGTCCGGTTAGGTCAGATTTTACTGTATCTTGTTGAGAGGCTTTTGATACCTGCTGCAACAAGACCAGAGACATTGTGGAAACTTATGGCCCGGCACAACCCAACGTGCTGCAGAGGAGAGCTTCACCATAAGGGACTCGAGGCTGTGCTGAGAAAAAGAGTCGCACTGGATTGTGGCAGTAATATTGATATCCGAAGTAAGTCAGTGTGCTGAATGGTACCATATACCAGCCATAAGCATACCGTCATTGAAACTATTCCCAAGTGGCCTGGACATGAGATGAATCATGCGCATCTTTCCATTATTCTTTGGCACTGCACCAATGCCTGAAAATTACAATGCATAAAAAAAATTTGGGTGAAGTAAGGAAGACTTAGTCTCCCCTATGATTAAATGAGGTAGTGAAATGGTCAGATATAGCTAAGCGTTTGTGGCAGCAGAAGAGAGATTCAGAGAAGTGACATTTGCTGGAAAGGTAAATTAGAAGCTGACAATAAACCCATGATTCAAGCCATGCAGAATAATTCATGAAAATATGAGTCTAATTCGATACATAGGAAGGACAAAAAACGGGCAACATTCAAAGGTGAGCGAAAAGTGGAAGTGTGCAAGGTTATTTATGAGGGTAAACAAAGGAGTTAGTGATCTTACTGGGAAGTATTAAAGGCTTTTGTACCAGTCTTGGAGCACAGTTATCGGGAGTGGTTATAGTGGAAGCGGCAGGACTTATACTGGGGCCAAAGTTGTACTTCTGGCAGATAATTTGGGCGCAATCCGAGTGTGTGAGTTTTTTCGCTTTTCCGGGATAATTCGATTGAAATCCGTACTGCGGACAAAACATCGTTTTTCCGTAAAAATACGGACAAATACGGGCAGTTGGTAACACTGAACTACTGGACATGTTGGTCTAACTTTGAACTACTGGACATGTTGGTCTAGCTTTGAACTACTGGACATGTTGGTCTAGCTTTGAACTACTGGACATGTTGGTCTAGCTTTGAACTACTGGACATGTTGGTCTAGCTTTGAACTACTGGACATGTTGGTCTTGCTTTGAACATGACAGATAGCTGCCATACATGTTTTAGCTATACTTTCAAGACACTGCGGCTTTGCTGGAGCGATGTTGACGTCCAAAGCGAAGATGACGTCCAAAGCTACTGGTCATAACTGGTTGTAACTGAGTCATGCAGTGGCGAGATCCGGACCGAAAGCTTTCAATATAATTGATTGACAGGCCAGTGAATCATGCAGAATGTGTGATGCGTGGGTGCAGACAACACCCATGTGCAAAGTCAAGCCTTCCAACTAGGAAGCCATGTTGAGCACTCGCCATTTTACTTGGCGACTGATAGGGAGTACGGAGCTCAAATGACTTTGATTCTAGGTGTGGAACAAAATC